CATTGGGGGGATTTCTACTTGATGAAAAGCTGCAAAATGTTTAATAATTTGTTTCCCTAATATTAGGAAATGTATCTCCTTAAACTTAATGCACATTTGTTGGAATTTGTTTGTTTCATTTTTCGACTAATAGGTAAATGTTTTGTGGATTTTTTCTGAATTTTTTTTATTTTTTTTTCTGAATTTTTCCTTGATACAGTTCTTTGGGGGTTGTATTTAAGCGATATTTGCGTCCATTAGAGCTTAAATAGCAGAAAATAGGAAAATAAAGAATATTTAGAACCGAGAAAAATGATTCTGAAATTAGGATATCTTGAAAATAGTTGTAACTGGGTCTGAGCTCCACAACTAGGGTACCTATTGATGGCTTTGATAGAATTTCAGAAATTGTAATAAAATGGATCTATCTGTGTTAAAAAAAATTGTGGCTCTTAGACTGTATAAGGAAATGATTATTAACTTGTTTAACATTTATTTCTTCATTTGGGGTTCTTCTGCTTGTCGAAAATCTGCCAAATGACTATTAATTCGCTGCCCATAATATTGGGAAATGTATCACCTTAACTTCATGCTTCATTTATGTGTTCATTTGGGGTTTATTTATGTGATAATTTGTTATTTCTTCATTTATGGCCAGAAAATTATTTTTGCAGTTGACATATGGACTATCCTTTACTAATTTGCTTTGCACATTATCCTTTCTATCAGGGGGCGATTTTGAGACCAACGTCACAAGATTTACACTGCCAATTCGAGCCCTTTCTTTCAATAAATCTGGCGCAATGTTGGCTGCTGCTGGCGATGACTGAGGGCATTAAACTTGTTAACACAGTTGACGGAACAATTGCAAGGGTTCTGAAAGGACATAAAGGATCAATCACCAGCTTAGCTTTTGATCCTAAAAGTGAATAATTGGCTTCCCTTGATTCTGTTGGAACAGTCATTTTTTGGTAACTTCAATCTGGGAATACAATTCATGTCCTCAAAGGCATAGCTCCTAACAATGGACTGATATTTTAGTTATGAACATTCTTGGGTGGAGTCCTGATGGAGACATGCTAGCTGTTCCAGGATTGAAAAATGATGTGGTGATGTATGATAGAGACACTGCTGAAAAGCTGTTTACTCTTAGAGGGGATCATTCGGAACCTATTTGCTTCTTGTCTTGGTCACCTAATGGTAAATATATATGGCTACATCCAGTGTAGACAGACAGGTTCTTATATGGGAAGTTGACAAGAAGCAGGATATTGAGAGGCAGAAATTTAACTATAGCGTATCTTGTATGGCGTGGAAGCCTCATGGAAATGCATTGGCAGTTATTGATTTTATGGGAAAGTATGGCTTGTGGGAATCGGTGGTGCCATCCTCAATGAAATCTCCAACAGAGGATATTCCTAGTTTATATTCAAGTGGCTTCGTCTTGTTTGACAATGAAGAAGAACCTGGCGCATCAGGTAGTTTGAGTGATCTCAATGAAGATAGCCATGGTGAATCAGAGCCACCTAGCAGAAAAAGATTACGTAAACATTCTATATACGATGATGATTGGGAAGATGAAATTACGGATGAGTTGGAATCTACAAGGAAGGTTGAAAATCGTAAAAAGCCTTCAAATGCTCACAAAAATGACCTTAATAATGTAAAGAACAGTGTAAGAAACACTGTAGCAACTGCAAGGCTGAAAATGCAAGAAGCTTTTCAGCCTGGAGCTACTCCTATGCAACCTGGAAAAAGGCACTTTCTATGCTACAATATGCTTGGAAGTATAACCACGATGGCACGTGATGGATACTCCCATATAGAGGTACACCATGTTCTCTTTTCGTGATTTTTAACTGCTTCTATCTTAAAAGTCGTACATAGAATTGAATTGCAACTTTTCTTGAAAATCATAGATTGCTGTTAATGACCTGAGGGAAAAAAATCATTTTAAAATATAAAGCAAAAATAAGTTACATTCATTTTTGGAGATTCCTTGATAAAATCTGAACAAAATATTGATAGGCTCCCATCCACTTCACTCATTCTAGAAGAGAATAGAAGAATTTACCTGCAAGTGGGGGGGAGGGAAAATTGAATTCTGTTAGAAAATAGATCTATAAATAAGGGTAGAAGTTAGGGGATAAGCAGGCAAATATTGAGTAGCCAATTAGGAGAGATCTAAGCCTCTCGAATGCTTAGAATTTATCTTTCATTTGCACTGTAATTTCAGTATTAATTCAATATCATTCTCGTTTGTTATTTTCATCAGTTGGAGTCCTATCAAATTGGTATCAGAGCACTCGATTCTGATGGCGGAGGAGAATATAGAAATCAGAGTAGAAGCTATGGAGAAGAAGCTGAAGGAATTGAAAACAGTGCTTACCTAGATTGGAAAAATCATTGGAACACCTCAATCAGAGCATGTCCGAAATGATACAGTTAATGGATGAAACCCAGAAAAATGTGGCATCCATGACCGTTCCTAAAGCAGCAATGAACTGATCGTTGGCAGAGGAAGAATCTGGAAATC